TACAGCTATTAATTCCATAATATTCATAATCCAGCTTAACAAAACCTACAGCTAGTAACTCCATATTATCATTCATCCAGTTTAACAAAATCTACAGCTGGTAACTCCATATTACTCATCATCCAGTTTAACAAAACCTACAGCTAGTAACTCCATATTATTATTCATCCAGCTTAACAAAACCTACATTTAGTAACCCCATATTAATCATCATCCACCTCAACAAAACCTACAACTAGTGACTCCATGGTCCTCATCATCCAACTTAACAGAACCTACAATTAGTATATCTATATTACTCATCATCCAGCTTAATTAAACCTACAGCTAGTAACTCCATATTACTCATCATCCAGCTTAACAGAACCTACAACTAGCAACTCCATATTACTCATCATCCAGCTTAACAACACCTATAGCTAGTAACTCCATATTATTCATCATCCAGCTTAACAACACCTATAGCTAGTAACTCCATATTATTCATCATCCAGCTTAACAAAACCTACAGCTAGTAATTCTATATTACTCATCATCCAGTTTAACAAAACCTACATCTAGTAACTCCATATTACTCATCATCCACCTTAACAAAACCTACAGCTAGTAACTCCATATTACTCATCATCCAGCTTAACAAAACCTACAGCTAGTAATTCCATATTACTCATCATCCAGTTTAACAGAACCTACAACTAGTAACTCCATATTGCTCATCATTCAGTTTAACAAAACCTACAACTAGTAACTCCATGGTCCTCATCATCCAACTTTACAGAACCTACAATTAGTATTTCCATATTATTATTCATCGAGCTTAACAGAACCTACACCTAGTATTGCCATATTACTCATCATCCAGTTTAACAAAACCTACAGCTAGTAACACCATATTACTCATCATTCAGCTTAACAGAACCTTCAACTAGTGAGTCCATGGTCCTCATCATCCAACTTGACAGAACCTACAATTAATATATCCATATTATTATTTACCCAGCTTAACAAAACCTACAACT